CTCAGCAGCTTCAGCTGTCAAGATCTTCCCGTCTTCCGGAGAAACCCCGGCCAATTGGCAGCTGGCATGGTAACGTGTGGACCAGCGAATCTGATTCGCCACATCCTGAAGCAGAATTGGACCAACAACTTCAAGAAAACAACAACAACAACAACAACAACAAAACAAACAGGAACCACAACCACAACTCTTAGCAACAACAACAACAACAACAACTCCAAGCTGAAACCGGTGTGAAAGAAATAGGGGCCCGGCCGCTATACCACGATTGGATGGTTCTGGAGAAGCTCGAATCGTTGCTTTGAAGCATCCTTATAGTAGGAAGGAAGACTCTGCAGGTGCCACTGAATTATGTCTATTGATTGCTGCGGCTGAAAACCTTCATGAACACTTTAAGGCTATTACTAATGGAACTCCATGCACTGAAGATCTTCTTCCCAAAGAAGTACCCACTCTTGAGATCCTTCGTCTTGGTGTTCGGCCGAGTTCGAACCTGAACAAACTGCAAAGCCGAAGGAATCAATCTTAACATATCTTGAAACAAAATCGAAAAATAGCTGAGAACGTGGCCACTTCGAGGTTCAGCTTGCCAGTTTTCTCCAACTTGGGGCGCCATTCGGTGAGAGACACAGACCTGTTAGTGCTACCTTTCACAGTAGCCACCGATGGCCAAGCACCACCTTCAGATTTCTTCCAGCAAACATCTCTCTTACTGATATTGCTTTCACAAGGCTGATCCACAGGCTTCTTGCGAGGTCGGCGGGTAGCCTGAGCACGTGGACTTTGCCATCGACAATGGACAGGTTGGAACTCTTGGTCTGAGAAAGAGGCACCAACAGTGACTGCTTTGCGTTTTGGGATCGCCTGGAGAAAAATGCATGCGAATTCAAAAATGGATCTGTCTTAAAAAATCAACTGGCAATTTGCGCACCTTCTTCGCCTTGTTCCTCTTTGTTTTCCCCTCAATGATGTCACATGGTTACTGAATCCGGGCACAAACTATGAAATTGATTTTGTGGCAACACATATATCAAGGCCCAAACCGATCCCTTTGCCTTTTTCTGATTCTGCTTCTCCACCACCTCCCAAAAAACAAAGGCATTCCGAGCAAGTCAGAATAGCAAACAACATACCAAGTCTCAATTTGACAGCCCACTTTGAAAAATACCGGCCTCCATCAAAGATCGCTTCTTTGGAACGGGGTCAAGGACTAACGTCTCCCTTGCATCACTCAACTGCTAAACACAAATTGAAGAAAGGGTATGTGGCATCTGAAAATAAATCTGGGACGTCGGCTCATCGCTCGTCAGCTCGTCGACCGTGGTGTTCACAGGCATGGCCACGATCCCAAACGATCCCAAAAAAGCTACGGTCAAAGCGTGTGAGAACGTCAGAACGCTGTGGGAATGCTGTGAAATGTCACATTGACAATTGAAACTGACTAAATTGAGAAAGGCCGCGTGGTATCGTGCCTTCTTGGAATCTGCAATGCAAAGCGGTGGTCGCCATCACCACCTAACATCATCAAAGCATCATCCAGCCAAATGTTGGTAACCTCTGGCAATGAAAATGACTGCGCTGACTGGAAAAAATGTGCAATCAATTGTGAGCCCCACTGGCCTCGACCAAGTCAGCATGCCCGATGTTGCCCGGGCTTGCTAGCGATAACTAAAAAATGGTCGCGCTTCTGATTCAACTGGATTGTTTCTTCTGAAGGATGGCACCCCGTCCATGCCACTTGCTGCACTTGACTAACATCTGTCAACAAAACGTCTGATCGCTAACATGTGTTAACACGTCTGTCAACAAGCACAGACGGCCCCCATGGCCCAACCAGGCCACTTGCTTCAGAATGTCTGCCCATTGGAAGTGCCATGGGATAGGCAATGAGCAAATTTCTCTGGAGCACGGTGTGAAAAATAGAGAACGTGTCGTGTATCACTTACATATGTTCTAACATAATATTATGATGTAATCAATGTCCCCAGTGCATTATAATTATAATATCGTTGCTTCATCTAAAGAATATCATTACTTTATGTTCACACCTTCAAGTTTTTTCCTGATTGTCCGCAAGCATGAAATCACACAGGCATTGGAACACCAAATCATTTGGGAACACCAATTCCAATGAAATAACCTTAGAAGCAGAAGACAAGCAAGGGCGTTTAAGAGCGAAGAGGCTGCAAACGTCTCCGCCACGCATCGCATCAACGATGACAAACGATCCCACGACAGAGGTAGACGCAAGTGGTGAAGGCAAGATCACCATCTAAGACTCCGGATATGCGAGTTCGAAAAGTTCGACAGCATGTCGTCATTGATACAAGCGATCCTATGTTTGCGCAGCGAATTGTGTAAGAGTCATAAAAAAAAGCTCGGTACCAACATGCCGTGAACAACGCGTATGATCTCATTCTTGTACGGAAAATTGCACGAAATTCTTCAAACAAGCTTGGTGCCAAAATGCCCTCAAAGGCAGAGACCATGCATTTTTATCTGGAAATCTCCACAAGTATAGAAGCTCGGCGCCACGAGGTTTCTGAAAATAACATCTAACACTCTCTCAAGCCGAAAATCGTCGCCAGAGCTTGCAAAAAAACGCTCGGTTAACATGCCGTGAACAACGCGTATGATCTCATACGAAAATTACCATGTAAGTCTGCGAAAGAAGCTCCATACCAAAATGCCCGGAAAGGCAAACACTAAGACCATTTCATATGAAAATATCCATATATCTATATATTCATACAAAAGCTCGGTACCGCAATGCTTTTGTAAATGGCATCCAACATTCTCTCAAGCTGACACGCCGTCAAGAAGGCATATATAATCACAATGTTGTATGAACAGTTTCCACAAAAATAGTGAAAAAACCTTGGTACCGACGCGTCGTCAAAGGCAAATACTGCGTTGCTTTTATAAAACATTCTCACATACGACGAACAATCATTGCAAGTGCAAGTTCTCACGCAACTTTACACCATGGAAGCACAGAAAGGAAGTTTTTCAAAACGAGCGTTTTCCACGAGACATTCGCAAAAAGTGACAATGAAAGCTTCCAAAACAAGCGTTTTCCACGAGACATTCGCAAAAAGTGAGAATTATGTAGACTCCCAAAACGAGCGTTTTCCACGAGACATTCGCAAAAAGTGAAAATGATGTATAGACTTAGAAAACGAGCGTTTTGCACGAGACATTTGCAAACAAGTGAGAGTGACTGTAGACTTCCAAAACGTTTTCCACGAGACTTTCGCGACAAGTGAGAATGAAGGCTTCCAAAACGAGCGTTTTCCACGAGACATTCGCAACAAGTGAGAATGAAACCTTCACAATCGAGTATTTTCCACGAGACTCAAAAACTGGAAAACTTTACCCGCATTCTGCGCCACAAAAATATGAATAAAAGCCATTGGCGCGCGTAACCTTCCAAGCATACAAAAACGCGATCTCACCTGCATTGTGCACCCTCGACACGCACGATCTCCGCAGAGGGTTGCGCGTGCCAAATCCAAAACGCAATCTCACCTGCGTTTCACGCCCTCGACACGCGCGATCTCCGCAGAAGGTTGCGCGGGACAAATCCAAAACGCAATCTCACCGTCTCTCATTTGCATTTCGCACCCTCAACACGCACGATCTCCGCAGAGGGTTGCGCGGGCCAAATCCAAAACGCAATCTCACCTGCATTTCGCGCCCTCGACACGCGCGATCTCCGCAGAGGGTTGCGCTGGGACGGGCAAAAACGTAATCTCACCTGTTGCGTTTCGTGGTGCTCCGGCGGCACCGCCCCCGCCTTAAGAGAGAAAGAAAAGAAGAGCGACAGGTGCAGATGTGAAGATGTGAAGATGAGTAGAGATGTGTGTATGCAGGTGTGAAGATGAGCAGAGATGTAGATGTGCAAATGTAGACGTGCAGATGTGAAGATGTAGATGAGACGTAGTTCTACAGATGCTTTTTACAAAAAAGATCAAAAAAAGCCCTTCGCAGACGCTCTCGGGAAAAAGCCGAAGATGTTCGACATCGCGGACCGTACGTCATTGACCCCCCCACCCCGCACGCCCAATGAACACCAGTCCCAAAGGTCCAAGATGCACCTTAAAGCATGTCCAGAGTCTTGATGAGAGCTCAGCATGAAAAATTAGATGTAGAACACCATATTTAACATTCCCGAAAAAGTAGCGTAAACATCGGAGACACAAACTAATTTATCTAATTTCAGCAAAAAATGCACAAAGGCAACGTAAACATATAAGATCTTGCCACGGAGGAAACATGAGAAAACACTGCTATTTACAGTAAAAATGAAAGGTTCTGACTTTGACGCAACGTGTGACAACAAGATCATTGCTTTAATAAAACGTGCACGACTACTAGCGCGGTTCTCAGCCCGCTAGCCAAAACATGTCCAAAACACCAGCAAAGCACCACCGAGACACAAGCCAAAACATGACC